ATTCCCCAATCCTTTTTTTTTTTTTTTTTTTTTTTTTGGAAGTGTACCAACAATCAAATGTCTTAATGCAGATTTCTCTTTTTTACATTATTTATTTATTTTTTACAAATTTTTTTTGATAGTTTGGTTAGATAAAAATATAAATTAACAAGTTAAACTATGGAGTAACAGCACAAGAGTCTATACAGTTATTCGCTCATTCATTTCATTCCATGACACTCCTCTCCACTGTCATGTCTTAATGAGTTTCATCTTTTTTTGTTTTTGTTTCAGTGCATCACATCACAAAACTTTCTGTGTTTTTTGAACATCTAAGTCACTGTTTATGTGGCTCATTTCTTTCTGAATCATGGCTTTTCCCATTATTTAAATGGGCATCTATTGCAAAGTTATCATTTTATGGCTACTTGATTTATTGATTAATATTTCACGCATCCAAATTGACAAGTCATCTGCTACTATTTTTCCTATTGATTACATACTTGTTGTAGACTGGACTTTCAGTGGGCAGTTATTACTGGTGAAAATATAAAAAGAAACTACTGTAAAGATGATCATTTTTTAAATTACCTTTGAACTGTAAAATAACTTTTTGACTTTCACAATATTTAATTAAAGTTTCCTCTTGTCTGTGACTCTTCATTCTTTGTGATGTTTTTGTTGTTAATTAAAAAAAAAAAATTTTAAATGGATTTTCTAAGCATTTTAAATTTTAGTTGTTGTGGGAAATTAAAATGTACGGCATTTACGACATTGTAATAAAGCAATTAATTATATATGTATAAAGAAATGAAGCGACGTTATAGCGCAGGGGTTCACATGATCACACACAAGCCTGTCATCTGCAATAAGAGTTATATTCACATCAATTTATATTCACATCAGAAATTAAGCGCACCTTATTAGTAATATGGACCCATTTTAATGACTCTAGTTCATTAATATATTACATGCTTCTGGCATAGAGAATATGCCCACTGCCACTTTAACATATTAATGATGGCTCTGGTCTTTTTTTTTTTAAATTAAAATGCATTTGGCACTTAATTGATTCATCATTTACATTTACAGTCATCAGCAGATATACTCACATATGTAAAATGAACCGATTTGAATGGCTTGAAAAATGTCTGTCCACTGACCTCAGTACAGAAGGTTGAGTTTTGCAGGAATTCAATGGCTGTGTCAGTTTTACATATTCTGCCAATTATCTCGCAGTCTTTTCTATTTACTTGAGCTGATTTTCTGGGACACTTTAACTTCTATGTTGACTTTGTCCTGTTAAATAAAATAACGTTACTGTAGTTTCACATTTTCTAAGTAGTGCTCATGTAAAATGTAAGTAAGACTCACTGCTATGTTTCCAGGGTAGTTGCTAGGTGGGTTCTGGGGTGTTCTATATTTTAGATATATTCTAGTCATTATGTTACTCAGGACATTCCATTAATTTTTACCCTGTTTATCAAATACAGTTTTGTGGCTCTTTAATGTGTTGTGAAAGATCGCTTTAGCACCTCAGTTCAAGCGGCATGTAAACCAATAATCTCTTCCTCTTTATAGCATGAAATAAACATGAATGAACACCAGAAGGTATCTTGTTTTAACCGTGGAAAGATGTCAGTACACAACACTTTTCAAGTTCAAATCCACCGACGTTAATCTTACTCTCCTGCCTGGATTGTTTGTCAGACAAAACGGTGGATTCTGCATTATGATTGGTCAGATCACCTGTCAGGCAAACTCTCTGCGAAGGGTCAATTGGCTAATTTGTATTAATTCATACAATTTGTAAAATTATGTTTAGTGGTGGGGTTAGGTATAAACTTTCATGTTTTTTCCTAAAAATAGTATGTTTCGTAGAAACAGTTACATTTTCTCGTGAGATGGGGCTGAATGGGCTCTGTTTGCTTTTGATTGGACACAACATGCCACTAGTGATTTTAAATGCCATGTCAGCATAAATGAATTCTGCAAAGCAACACAGTAGTGTAATTTTCAGAATGAATCAATGTTTTAGTAGCTGATTCAATGACTCACTTGGCAGTTACTTGTTTCTTTTGCTGAATGATTCTTTTTTTTTTTTTTTGGAATTCAAATTGGTTGAAGACAATCACTTGTCGCCACCTACTGGCATATCAATATAACTAAATTTAACATTAATGTAACTTAATGTAACTTAACTTTGGGCTAGGATTACATCCTCCTCGCTCCATTTTAGTTCCAGTGTTGTGTGCATATTTTTGTAGAGAAACACAGTCATTTTCATGCACTCACATGAATACTATACTTGATCTTCTT